GTTCGAATTTTTATGGTAAGCTCTTCTTTTTTCTTTTGTTTTTTTTTAAAAAGAACAAATCTGAAACATGCAAACAAAAATAAATTCGGTGGCAGTATGGCTTTGAGTTGCCATCTTTAGCTGTACCCTTTGTCCAAAAGCAGAAACTTTCTGTTTCCCATCCCTCTTAGTCTTAACAGATATAAATGATTGTAACAAACAATAACTTTCATAATCAATATAATGAAAAATCAAAGGTTTACATTTAACAAAAGACAATAATATTTGTAAATTTATTGTTTTACTTGCAGCCGTCTCTCTTTCATCTCCAAACCTAAAAGCTCTATTGTCTTTTTTTTTTTTTTCACAGGCGGTCACCGGTGAACTCTCACCAATGCTCATCCATTTTTCTTGTTTTGTTTTTATTTTTCAAATAATTCTCAGATTTATATCTTTTGATATAAATCTTGAGTTCTTATTGCTCAAATATTGAGATTTATTGTTGTTCGTATCTTGAGATTTTATTCTCAAATCTAGTTCTGAGTTATTGTTATCACCATTATAACGATTTTATTTACAGTATTTTGTTATTTGGACAGTTACACAGAAAGAAATGCAGATGTTGACATTAAAAGGAATAAATTTGCATGTGATCAGATCAGACTTAAAGAAATATTATAAAGTCGAACAATAGTCATAAATAACTACAAAGTGGAGCAAACGATTATCTATGGCACAAATATTATACTTTATCAACTCAATCAGATACTTCAAATCAAAATTGTGTTTTTTATTTTTTGTATAACGGGTTTATTATTAGACTTCATATACAAAAATATAGAAACATATTGATTTATATCCTATGTCTCTATATAGTTTCCTAAAAAAAAAAAAATATTTTTCTAGTTTGATTTCTTCTAAAAAAAGTTTACATTTAGATGAAAAAAATATTTTTCTAGTTTGATTTCTTCTAAAAAAAGTTTACATTTAGATGAAAAAAATATTTTTCTAGTTTGATTTCTTCTAAAAAAAGTTTACATTTAGATGAAAAAAATATTTTTCTAGTTTGATTTCTTCTAAAAAAAGTTTACATTTAGATAAAAGAACATATTTCTGCAATATTATTATTATTATTATTATTTAAGAATTAGAGAAAGAGAACTCCAACTTGAATCTATTGTCAAATCGTATATATATTTTACCACTAGACTATGTCTTGGTGTACTTCGTAAGATACTTTTCCCTCATTGGCTGGGTATCTAAAATCTATGCTTATTCTTAACCGTGGTAAAAACTTTTCTTCACATAATGGCAAGAGAAGAAAAAACTTTTTATCTTACATCTGTTGGGTGTAAATCAATCATTAAATGTATAAATCAACTGAAATAATACTCTCATGAGTCACACCAATATTCAAATTCTATTTTCTATTTTTTATTTTTTATTGGTGAGGTATGGTGTTGGGTTTTTAAGGAACTTGGGGCTAATTTGGAAACTATTTATCTATATTTACAGTTTAATTTTGAATATATTTTTGTCCTTAATTTACAGTCCAAAAAGAAAAAAATAAATTGCAAATTAAGTGTGGTTTGGTTGGTCTTCTCACTTCTATATGGAGTGAAAGGTCTCGAGTTTGAGTTATCTAGACCAAAAGTGTTGTTACCAATTTGGTAAATTTAGGGGATAACTATATTTATTGTATAGGTCGTAATATTATTTCAACTTACCCGTCCTTCCACTATTTATTTTGCATTACAATTTACTGGCAAGCAAAGTTGATTAAGAAGCCAAAAATTTAACATAGAGAGATTAATTCTTCACATGTGCAATATATGCATGCCCAAAAGGGAATTCCAAATTATTTTTTAAAATAAATGATACTACTAAATTTTTAGGACAATTCACATGTAGTATTATTTTTCATTAGGACTATCACTTCGAGAAATTCTTCTGTTTAGTTTGATTGGTAGGAAAGAATATGAATTAAATGATTTACCAGAAAAAAAAAAAAGGGAATGAACTAAATAAAGAATTGGAATTAATTTGAGTTAATTAATAACACATGCCATTTAAGTTGACAACTGAACGATTTTCGATGTGAACTAAAAATATAAAAAAAGAAAAGTCGTGGGCAGTATCAGTATGGATTATACTAATTTTCTTTGTTATTCCTTTAGAAGTCTAATCAACCAAAATAAATTACATCATGTCAATACCGTTAGCACTATTATACTCATTCCATTCAATGATAATTGTCATATTTATATATTTTTTTTCTTTAATAAATTATTAAGTAAATTAATTATATTATTTTTATTTAGAATATTTAAACCTCAAATTTGATTTTTTTATTAATTAAATTCATAGAGATTTTGCATACCAAACATATTTTAGCGGTAAGTATATATAAAACACCTGGTCGTAAACCCAAATTCGAATCCTCTTTCCAATATTCAAAAAAATGCGGAGAGATTTTGGTAACAAAAATAGTAACAGTAAATAAAGTGAGTTATTTTTAGGAATTATAGCAATTGTTGTTGACCATTTGCAAGGGGTAAAAATGAGACAAAATTTATTATTTTTTAAAAGTCACTTATTTATGGATAAAGGGAATAAATTGGTATAATGTTATTAGTGACATCTCTCTCTCTCTTTATTAATAACAAAATCAACCAATGTGAAAAAAAAAAAAAAAAAAGGAAAAAAAAAAAAAAAAAAAACAACCCAAAATCAACCAAATCACGGTTTGATATAAATTACTTTTTAATGATTAAAAAAGTAAAATGGATGATATAAAAAAAAAAAAAAAAAAAACAACAAAATCAACCAAATCACGGTTGATATAAATTACTTTTTTTAATGATTAAAAAAGTAAAATGGATGATATAAATTTGTTAAGGAATAAAGGTGAATATAGCATTTGAATTTGATTAGCGGGATAAAAAGGTCAGATTTAACCTTTTCGGCTAATTTAACCCCTCAATTTGCTTAAAATGATTAAAAAGATCATATTTAAAATTTTGGGTCAATTTACATCCTAAACTTATTTAAAATGATTAAAAAGGTAGGGTTAATATTTTGGATTAGTTAAGCCGTAAAAAAAAAACTTATTTTCATTGACAAATAATTTTGAGTTCATAAATATATATTAATTTAAATATTTTAAAATTAACATGAAATCCATATATTTTTCATGTTAATCAGATTAAGGTTAGACTACATGTTTTATAAATTTACTATGTTACAAAAATGACTCTTTTATGAATTTAAACTTCAATTCAAAAGTATCGAAAAAATTTGATATGGCATTTTTAGCACAAAACAAGAGTGGAGAAAAGTAATCACTGCTAAATTGAATCAATTTATTAATTTGCAAAAATTTTAAAACAAGTTTAAGGATTAAATTGATCTAAAATGTTAAATATGATCTTTTTTTTAATCATTTAAAATAAGTTTAGAGACTTAATTGGCATAAATTTCAAATCTGACCTTTTTATCCCACAAAATAAATTAAGGGACCAAATTGCCCTTTATTCCATTTGTTAATAATAATTTAAAAATTTTTGACGAAAAATAAGTACTATTAATTGGAATTTGGATATCAAATACCAGCTAATTATATATTAGTCTCTGTATGGTTCTTGAGGCGTGCACGTGATTCTCCTAGCTAGAGATTTTGACAACTTGAAATATCTTCAAAATCAGAGTAATCCTTGTTTAACAGTATATATTATTTATGAGAAATTAAAAGAATATATATAGATAGATAGATACAAATTACGTATGGAATGATGCAACATGGAACAAGAGTTGCTTTCTTACAATGACACTTTCTTGGGACTTTCTAGTGAAGCAAGATCGTGCTCAACAGTTTTTTGTGGTGCCTACTTCCTCACAGTTCAACAAGAGACAACCCTTGCTTGTTTTTTGATCTGTATCTCACATGAGGCCATGCTCCCTTGCTCAGGGGCCAATCCCCATCCCAGGAGGGGATTGGGAGAGCACAGGACCTACCAAACTTTTTTTTTTATTATTATTTAAAAAAAAAAAACAAAAACTCTCTATATAATAATGTAAATATTCTTTTTTTTTTTTTTATGGTAGCTTCCTTAATTAGAGTATTAAATTTTTTTTTTAAAGATAAACTCCATATGTTTATAAAATTCATTATGTAACAACTCTTTAAAATTTTTCTTTCATCCAAAATTATTTTATTATTAATATTATTATTATTATTATTATTATGAAAATTTTAACATCATCACAAACCACTCTTTGTTTGCATGCATGATGCTAGCAGGGGTGGAGTTAGGATAATTATTTTAAAGGGTTAAATAAAATTTTTTTAAAACTTTTAAGGAGCCAAGTGTAATTTTTGTATATTTTGAAAGATTAAAATCATTTTCATAAGAAAATTTTAAAAAAAAAAAATTGTTTGGGGCCACGGCGCTAAGGGAGCTCCGCCCCTGGATGCAAGGATATTTATTGTAACCTTTTCATTATCTAGTTAGGAAAAAAATAACTTACGCTATAATTATAAATATTAAATTAAATATTTGACCACTGAATCAGTAGTCTAATAAATTTTTAACATTTTAAAAAAACTTTATTTCACATTTCACAAAAGAGAGAGAAAAAAGATATAAATAAATAATTTTACTTTTCATATGGTGAGGAAAAGTAAGAGATGGGCCTTTCATTAGTCCAAGTTAACCCAAATTCTAACATGTTAGATCCAGTAATTTTAAGACTTCAAACTGTTTGAGAAGTACTGAATGTCAGTAGTAAGTGGGGTTAGAAACGATTGTATGTCCATAACATAATGGACCTCGAAGCCCAAATCCTCTGCTACCAATATAATTGAAGCTTCAGTAATGAACTTCAGCCCAGATTCAAAGGTTTCATTTCTTATACAATTAGGAGGTTTAAATTGTAATTTAAACATTGCTTTTAAGTACTATAAGAGAAATTAAATATTACCAATATTTCAGAAATAACAATTAAGTAAAAAGAAAAATAAATTTAATTCTTTAAACCACGAAATAAGATCAATTTATTATGCTAACATAAAAAGGAAATTACAAAAACGAATTAAGAATGAAAGAAATGCAAAATGCACTAACATTCACAGATTAACTAGAAAAAAAATAAAAATAAAAATTCTTCTTCTAATATTGTGGTTGTCTAATCAAAGTTTATGAAGATCTGATTGCATAGCCATGTACAAAGTTCTCCATCCTTCTTGTGTAGGGTGCACATAGTCCCAGAAGAAAGCAGCATCAGGGTTATCACAAATTGTATACATCTTTTTCCCGTCTACTACATCACCACAAGAATAAGTACTGTTCGTACCCTTGCAACATGGTATCAATGGAGTTGCAAACTTTGTAGTTCCTGAGGATCAAACCGGTTTCATTTAAGGGATACAGAGTGCCGAACCGACACAAAATAGATAGTTATAATAATAATAATAATAAGAAATTGTGGTTACCTGCAGGCTGCTCTCCATTCAACACATTCTTGAAAGCAACATAAAGATCAAGAGTGACAAAAGCGTCACGATTCGCTGTCTGATTTAACTTAGCATTTGTTTCATTGTTCAACTTAGCCACAAGAGTCTCCAACACCATGTTGTGGTAGCTGACAAGTCCATTTCGGGTTTCGTCGCACTCTTTGAAGGAGCCGTCCATGGTGCTTTGAGGAAGACAACCTAAGGGGGCTAACTCGTTCACGGCAACTCTCCTAACTCCCAGTTCATAGATTCTCTTCATGTTCAGAGCAAGCTGATCCACCACTTTGTTAATGAAATCCATAATACCCTATTGATCACATCAATTAATTAATAATTTATTCTCTAATACCACGCATCAAAATAACACTGGGTTATGCATATTATATATATATGTATCTTACATCAGTATTTCCACCATGGTCGATAAGGTAAGTAGAGTAATCATTGCCTGCAAGAGACAAAATGGCTAAAGAGTTGTTTAGATCTCTTTGGGAGTAAATTTTTTCGTTGATCAATTGCTGGAAAAAATCAATTTGGGTAGTCATGTTTGGTTCTGGGAACACTGTATCAAATACTCCTGTGCCTCCATATGCAAAATTAGCTCCAAATATCAATCTATCCATAGCATATTTTCTGAACTTGAATGGAATTGGTGATCTTATCCCAAGAAACCTAGCTGCACATGCAAAAAAATTATTTATTAGGATTGCTTTAATTTCAATAAATATATATTTTATTTGATAGTTTTTGATGAAATAATAATAATAATAACAATAATTTTGCTTATCAAGAAAGAGTAAAGGTGCTTGTGTGAGCTGTTGATTGTTCCAAGTGGCTTTAGGCACTAAAATCTCAAAAATGCTTTCGTAGGAAAGCATTAGCATTTAGCACTAAAGTTGGTGGATTATAACATGTTGAATTGTTACTTTATAAAAAGAGATCACCACTAAAGACTTTTTATAGTCATTATTTTACTATTAAATTTAATAGAGAAAGACTTAGGGATTAGGAGGAAAGCTTTATTAATTAATTAATTAATTAATGTCTCAAATTAATGTTAAAAAAAGTGAGGAAACTTCTACAATCTTTAATTTATTTATTTTTGAAAAGAAACTTCCATTATCTTATGCTTCAAAAACCAAGAAAAATCAAAGAATGAAGTGGTGTGTGTTGTGCGGTAAAAGTAGCTTAGAGCAAAAGAATATTCCATTAAAAAAAAGAAATAAAGAACACTGAAACTTAGCTACAATTACTAATAAATTAACAAAAATGTAGAATCTTTAGGCCATGTGAGGAAGTAATATTAATACTGTAAAGAAAGACTGAAAAAAAAAAAGAAGAGAAAGAAGAAGAAAAAGAAAGTTGGTCCTCAACGTATAATATACGATTTTGCAAGAAAAGCAAAGTGCAAGACTCAGTAGTAATCATCAAAAGTCGGGCAAGCCTGCTTACAAGAGGAACCCACCAGTTGTTACTTGCTTATATCTTTAGCAAGCCTGCTTACAAGGAGGGAACCACCAGTTGTTACTTGCTATATCTTATATATATATATATATATATATATATTAAATAATTATTATTTTTTATCCGAAAAAAATATATATATTATTTATCGAAACAAAATAAATAAATAAAGTTTAAAAAAAATTAAATCAGATTATTGAAAAAGAGAATGAGAGAGACCCACCCAAAAAATCAGTAAAGACGCGGCCATTGGAGTACCGGCCGGTGGGTTTTCCGGGGTAGGTGATGCCATAAGGTTCTTGCCAAGAACTTGCTAAGGCTTTCATGTTGTTGCCTGTGTCTACGTATGAATCTCCGAAAACAAAGAGCTTTCTTGGCTTGGGGCTAAAGCAGTCGAGACCACCATGCACTCCTCCTATCACTATCACAAACAAAATTTTAAACTTTCTTGAATCAAATTAATTAAGAACCAAGAAAATAAAATGATCGAAATTAATTATTAGTTGTAATTAAATGTACTTATAGAAACCTGATAATAGAAGGAGAAGGAGAGAGCTGGAGAAGAGTAAGGTCTGAACAGTGGCCATAAGGGAGGAATTTGTGGTGTTTAGCGGTGGAGAGAGGGAGGAAATGGTGACAGGTGAAGAGAAAGGGTTGAGCTTACTGTTTTCATATATAGTTGTGAGGTCAGATGCGGTGTGCGTTTTAAAGTACGCTAGGAAATCGGAAGGGTAGGACGTTTTGGACTTGGTAAAAATATTGAAATTATTTTCAATATTTTTTTATTCTGCTATTATTCTAGAATATTAACTGCCTTTGAAATCAAATCTCATGTTTCAAATTAAGATAGATATCATCAATATCTATAATATCAAATTTTCAAATATTCACTCCTTTATTTGAATGGATAATTAAATTATTTTTTCAAATAAGAATTTCAATTTTTAGTTAACAACTAATTATTTTTTAATTGAAAAATATTATTATTGTTATAAAATAATAGGAAAACAGGGAGATAAGTAGAGAGAGAATAGGAAAAGAACACGCAAGTGTATTTATTATTAATGAAAAGTCACACACATATATATATATATAGTCACGACGTAGAACCCTAATAGAGTTTTACACAAATCAGTAAGATAAAGCTCGCAATAATTAAAAATACAGACTTCTAGCCCATATGAGATACTCACTTATTTCATAGTACTCCCATTGGATGTCTATTTTTTGTTGGCTCAAGGGTCAATTTTTAATCTCGGATTTTGATGATTAATACAAAACGAATAAATTTGAAATTATGTTATTTGTGCTAATTTTATTTTATGCAGAATTTCTATGGAAAGGAATCATACAAGGCAAGTCCTACATTGAGTGTGAAGTAAGTTCCTACATTGAGTGTTGAATTTTTCGAAGAACCTAGTACTAGGAATTTAGGGAAACTAATGTAGGATAGAGACATATATGAGCACAAAAATTATTTTTCTCTCAAAAATATTTTTCGGAAAATTAGATTTCTTCAAAATAATTTCTATCATAAAAATATTTTATTTTTTCAAAAATATTCTTCAAATCAAAATGATTTATTTTCCTAAAACTAAAAGAGATTTCTTCTCTAATGGTTTTGGTAATAAAATCATACACTTTTTCGGAAATACATTTTGAAAGATCTAAAGTACTTTAAATTTATTTTGTTACCTTAAAAACGAAGGAGAATCTTTTTCGTTTTTAGTAAGAGCATCCTTCCGTAAAGATATTTTCCAAATAATGCTACCGAAAATCTTTTGTTTAAAGGAAAGTGAAGAAAGTGAAAATCGAGTTTTATTTTCTTACCAAAAAGGGATGAAATAACTTTTGGTAACAAAGATTTTCAAATCTTCTAAATAAAGGAAAGAAGATATTCTGATTTCAATCTCTTTCCAAAAGGCAACAGCTACTTTGCTTCCTATATAAAGGAACGTTCACGCCTTAAATATTTGGTGAAGTAAAAGTTTTTGTTTTAAAAGCACTCTCTCATTGAACGATTTCTTATCTCTCAAAACTTACTCTCTATCCCCATTTTCTATTCATCTCTACTCTTAACGTTTTCAATATTTGAAGTGAAAAGAATTTTTTACAATTACTTTTGAAAAACAATTCTGTGTTCTAATCGATCTTCTAATCTGATAAAATTGTTTTTCCTGTGCTTATATTATACATTTGGAATTAAACTGACGTTCTATAAGGGACTGAAATTGCAAGAACATATTATATACATCACTCTTATTTTTCAGCAAATATAACCATGTAAATCGAGAGAAATCATCGATAAACAAAAGAACATACTTATGACCTAGGCTAGAAACAATAGGTGCAGGTCCCCAGACATCAGAGTGGATTATTTGAAAGGAGCCGTGCTTTTATGTTCAACAGAAGCTAAAGGCATTCTAGATAATTTTCCTAAATTACAAGCAGAACAAGGAGTAAAATCAAAACTAGAACAAGGTAATTTGAAGTCTTTTATTATTTTGGAGACAGTCCCACGATGAGGATGATCCAAGGTAGAATGCCAATCAGAAAACGAAGGGACAATGGCTGTGAGAGCAGATTTGAGAGGTGATTTGAGGAGTAGATAGCATCTTCAGTGAGAGCAGATTTGAGAGGTGATCTGAGGGAGTAGATACCATCTTCACTTGGGCCCTGCAGAAGAATTCTCCTGGTAACCTGATCCTTAACAAAGAAACAGTGAGGCCAAAATTCAAAAAAACAACAATTATCAGTGGTGAATTTTGGTACAGATAAAATTTTTTGACAATTTTGGGAACACATAAAGTATCTTTCAGGAGAAGTGGACCATGAGAAGGGATAGTAACTGTACCAGTATGTGAGATTGGAATCCAACACCATTTCCAACATGAAGATTATTAGAACCTTGATACTCTGCAGGGGTGCTTAATGATTGAATGTCCGGGGTGACCTGGTAATTAGCAGCAGTGTCAGGGTGCCAATTAATTTCTGACAAGGAGGTGTTGGAATAATTTGCTAAAGGTGGTGGTGGTTGTGGTAGTACTTGATCATGGGGTAGTAGGTTGTGGGTAGTAATTGATCATGGGGTAGTAGGGAGAAGGTGGTGGCGGATATGATGCAGGTGGTGGGCAGTTATATGAATAGTTGGCCATTGGTTGTTGACTGGTTCGATTTTGAATGGAGTTTTGATATTGCCGCTTATAACGGTGACAACATTTGTCTACAGTGTGGTTTCTTAAGCCACATATTTAACAAGGGCCTTTGGATTTGGAATTAGAATTTTTTTGCCAATTGGAATTCAAATTTGGCAATTGGAGCAGAGGTGGGAGGGAGTTGTTGTTGAATTGGCGAGACACCATATTTGCTTGAGGTGGTTCATGACAGCTTTTTAGAAGGATTTCATGAGCAACAAGCTGTCCATGAAGCTCATGGAATGGAAATGGAAATGGGGACGAAGATTTCAATGCAGTAATGATATTATGAGTACTCAAGGCCTCAATATTTTCTATAGCATGATGGCATTCTAAATTCAGCTGTTTCTTGAAAGGGGTCGGCCAGCAGCACTGTTCGGCCAGCAGCATGTAACTCATCTTTAAGTGCCTTGGCACGTTGGAGATAGGTAGAAATAGATAGGTCATTTTTCTTGAGCTCTTGTAGCTCAATGTGAATTTGAAGTTGTCGGTTTTGAGAGACAGAACCAAAGGCTTTTGCTAAAGCTTGCCAGACATCCTGAGGGGAACTTAACCCAACAATATATGGGAAGACTTCTTCAGAAAGAGAGGAGTGAAGCCAAGAGTGTAAGAGTTGATCTTGTTTGAACCAAGTTGTGTATTCCGGATTAGGAATATCAATAGCTGGGTTGGATGGAGATTTAATTATTTTTGAGGGTGGGGGGTGCGGAGAACCCAACAATATATGGGAAGACTTCTTCAGAAAGAGAGGAGTGAAGCCAAGAGTGTAAGAGTTGATCTTGTTTGAACCAAGTTGTGTATTCCGGATTAGGAATATCAATAGCTGGGTTGGATGGAGATTTAATTATTTTTGAGGGTGGGGAAGAGCCATCAATAAGATGGTTGAGATTATGATAGTTGAGAAGAGGTTGAAACTGCGTTTTCCATGATAGGTAGTTTGATGATTTTAATTTGACTGAGAACGAATGCTGTGCATTAGTGGGATTAGAAGAAATTTGGTTTGATGAATCAACCATGGTGCTCTGATACCATGTAAATTCAGAATGGAGAAAGAATCTTTTTTTTTTTATGTTTGATTAATGCTTTTTCCACGAAGTATCGTGACTATTAAATAGTCAATTACAAAGGATTACAGCAGCTACAAATTAGGAAGATTATATTCAAAAACAAATCACAGGACTAGCAGGAATCAAGGAAATAACAAATTACAAAAACAGAAAATATTTACAGCATTTGAACAAGTGTATGTGATCACTGAGAGCTGACTAGTTCTCAAATATCTTAACAATAAGTACAATATAATTATAATATAATATAATATTTTCTCAGCCATAAATATCATTAAGGCAATTATACTGTATGTATTGAGATTTCTTTATTCCATATTGAAATCTTAAATATATTTCTCGGGGATTAATTTGCTAGCTTCGAGCATTTTTCAATATTTCATTGATATCATTATCCACCAATCCATATAGAACTCTATAATATTAGTTGAATAAATTTCTCGAGAATTTAACGTTATGCTTCAAGCAACTAAAATCCTTCAGGGATTTTCATAGAAATATCTACATCAAGTCAGTATATAAATAGGCAGCCATTAATTCATTAGACGCATTTAAAATTTTCATAAATTGACATAGTAGTCAAATATCAAGTTATAATTGCATCCACCATATAAAGGTATTTATCCCTATAATCAATGCTAGTTCTTTGCAAAAAACTTGTGCAACAAGTTTGCTTTATATTTTATGATCCCATTTCAATTTCCCACAGATTCATATTTGTATTCTATTGGCTTGACATATCTTGATGCCCATATTAAAATTCAAAGTTTATTTTTTAAGTAAATCAAATGCCGCATGCGTCGTTCTATTTTGCTAATCAATTTTATCTCTATATTCTCTAATAGACAGTACTCAAGATCCTCATTTTTTTCACAATTTCAAGCGCTATATTATATCATCGACATTTATTTTATATTGGTTTTATATTTTTCTTGACATGATATAATTTGTAGACATCTTATAATCTTTATTGATTTCAGGTACTTGAATTTCTTTGGAAAATTTATTAGTCATGTCTAGAAATTTCTTCCACAATATGCTTTTCTAAAGCTTGACTATCTTGAATATTTATTCCTTTTCTTTTTCTAGGATTTTTATCCTTGGAATTGATTGGTCTACTACGCTTCAAGCGTTCCTTTGACTCATTAGCATAGGCAGTTTGTCCTTCAAAGACTTTAATTCTAATAGGAGTATTTACAACTAGTATATGAGATTTAGTTATCTCCTTTTGGATCAATAAATATATCTAGCAACTAATTTGCAATATTTCGCAAATGAATTATCTTTTAAACTTTTAAAATTGCTTGTATAAGGATCAAGATATAATAATGATAAATCTTTTCCAATCAATTATTCTTCTAGCTACTTATTTTCTCCCCCAAATGTCAGGATCCATAACAATTAGCAAATTTGGCCATAAATAACTTCA